TCTCTTCAGCTGTTGGCTGTTAGTTTTTGTCCATTTGTCAAGATCTTTGTTGCTGCTTGTCTGCAATCAAAGACTGCCCGTCACTACTTGTTGTAGTATTGAGGGCAAACATGTCCTTTGAGCCTTGCCTTTTCCAGACACCAGCACTTTCATAATTCAGCCTTGAAACTGCCTTTTACCTCCCCATGTGCTGCAGCAACATGTGCGTGGCCAACTCAGTTTCACCCTACTGGAAATGCCACTCTGCTATCCACACCAAAGCACTGCAAACATGTAAATATACACACACACACACAAGCATTTATAGTTATGTAAATGTTCAGTGAAGTTGATATGATGACAATACATAAACACATCAGTAGGCAGAACTATGTAAGAAATGAGGGAAAGGCAAACCAGATGTGGTGGAGGAGGGAGGGAAATGATCTGAACAAAACAAGAAGCTGCCGACTTCAGCAGAACCTGAAAACAGCTTTGCTTGAGAATAAAAATGTTCCTTTTTTATGCACAGTGAGGCAGGACCACCTCCTACGTGGAAGTCCAGTCCTATTCCTGCTGAATTTCTGTTTCTACACTGAGAAAGAGGATGTAAGGCTTAGCTCCACAAATAGCTCAACGCTTCCAAGGTTTCCTCATTGGAAACAGCTGTATAGAGGGACGGGTGCAACTGAAGGGCTGTTCTGAGATCTCTGGGCAGGAGCACTGGCAGGACAGATACATATGGCATAATGTTAGTCTTAAACTTTGTGCTTTCTGGTGAATGAATACCAAACCATGGTGGCATGAAGGTGCCTGCACACTGTTGGCAGACAGTTTTATTTTCCTCTGATGCGGAGCTGAAAGTAATTCTGGGAAGGGCTGGGGTGCTGCCCCTGGCAATCCTGAGCTAAGCAGAGCTGGACTCTGAGGGCCAATCTTGTTCGAGTGAGGACTTGATTAAAGATGAGTGAGAAATTCTGTTCAAGGGAATGGAAAGCCCTGGTCTGTGTTTAAAATCGTTAGCAGAGTCTTCCTCGCTAACGTGGTGCTGAGGAGGCAGGGCCCTGTTTCTTTTGTGCAGCAGCAGTGCTTTTGTGCTGCAGGGCTGGAGGCTCTCAGCTGCTCAGTGCAGAGTGGATCCCTGTGGGGCAGAAAAAGAGGTGCGGCGTCTGACAGTGACTTCTTGTCACTGGGATGGGCAAAATTAAAATTCCATATCCAAACATTTCTAGGTGGAAGGATTTAAAATTGATTTCCATTTCCTAAAGACAAGTGTGCTTGAATCCATACAGTTCAGGAATTGTTCAGTTGTGTTGTTTCAGTTCAAATCTGAAACTAGTCTTCTGTGTTTGAGCTTGGAAATGAAATTTGTGAATTTGCAATAGCATTCTAGATTTCTCTAGAAGATGTAGTGGAAAGGAAGTTTTTTCTTTTATTCTGCTTTGAAGATATAAATATTTGAATCTAGCTGTTTTTCTTTCTTGAAATTACTAAAACTCAAAAGCAGTCAAGTTCTACAACATAGAGACAAGCACCTGACCTTCGCACTTTAGGAAGCTTTAATTCTGTTCATTGCCTCAGTGTTGTAGTAGTGAAAGGAGCCAGCAACGTGCAGAAAGGAACATGATTAGAAAGTTATAAAAGAAAAGTTATTTATAGGTGGGTCTGCTTGTTCTATCACTGCTTATTCATCTTATGCTAACATATGAGGCTTCCTCTGAGAAGCAGTTCTGAAGTTCTGGTTTGTACACCAGTGTCCCTGCACAGAGTTGTATTTATCTGCTTGTGCTCTTGTGACTAGTCACTACTGACTCTCCCACAAACAGCTTACAGGATCATGACCTTGCTCCAATTTAAAGTTCAGTGGGAGAAAGCTAACCGCAGAGGAGCTGTACATGTAGTTTTTGGCAGTCTTGAGCCTAGGTTCTGCAGCATGCACAGGAATCATTTTGTTTCCCATCCTGTTCTTACTTTTTACAGACTCTAATAGAAATACAAATATTTTTCCCTAAATGCTCGCCTGAAAAAGGTCCAAAAAAATTTAGAAGGCATCTGGCAAGTTTGATGTAACATTTTAGGGGCCAAAGAGCTGGAGTCAGGTCCCTGTGGTACAGTGATTCAGGGGGAAAATGCTGAGATGCCACTTCTGCAGAAGTTCAGTCAGCTGTAGTCTTCATCTTCCTTTGCTTGTTATGCTTCATATGGCAACCTTTGCATGCACTAGTTCAACTGTTCTTGCAAAATTTGCAGTCTGTAATTCATTCTGAACTAAGTCTCTTCTCTCTTCTTGTACTTTGTGGTTTAGCTGGGCAAGATTTCATATTAAATTTAGGAATGGGATCTGTTTTATCTTGACCAGATTCAGTTGTTCGCCAGCAATATGGCCCATTCAGCACATGCACTTGTAAGTACGTGGATGCTCTAACAGACCACAGTAGAGCTAAACAGCCCATTTTTCAAGGCCAAGATATATCCAAATCAACTGGCAGCTATGAATGCTTTGACTATAAGGTTCGTAGTTGCTGGTAATAAAAATAAGGCTTTAAAGCTAAGAAAGAAACTAAGGGGATAGCTGGAAGTCAGCCAGAATATTGTGTGTCTGACTGAGGTGAAAGTGGCTAGTGTAGTGTTACTTAGGGAGTGAAATAAAGCGAAGAGGTGTCTGTTATGGGGTGAGTGGAGTCCTTTGAGGTCTGGTGCTCAATCGCCCATTTCATTTCACTGCAACACTGAGATCACTGAGATTGTGTCTCTCAGCCATGCCTATTTGAAGCTGGGGTAAAAAGAAGTTCTGGAGAAGAGTGAAAAGAGACCCTGCAGAAGAGTTTCCCATGATTTTTGACTCTGAAGGTAGAGAAAAGAGAGTTGGAATAAATGAAGAAATGAGTTTTCGGAGTGTTTGGGCCTGGCAGTACAGAGACATGGTAACCTATCAGGGCCTGGAAGAGGACCAAAGGAAAAACACGGGTCCACGTTGCATACTGCTTTTAAATCTGGGGTGGATGCCAGAGCCAGAACACAGCGTGGTGTTCAGTGCCTCTTGCAGCTCTTGTGCTTTGTATATCTTAATGAGCAGTTTTGGGTGCCACTGTTTCAACAAGACAAAGGGCTGTTAGGGAGTGGGCAGAGAAGGTATGCGAAGAGAGTCTAGAGGGCAAGGTATGTGGGGAGTGTGGCTGAGGTCCTTGGGTTTGCTCAGTGCAGAGCAAGGAGCTGAGGGGAGCCCTCATGGCAGCCACAGCTCCTCCACAGGGAGCGAAGGGCAGCGCTGAGCTCTGCTGTCTGTGACAGTGACAGGGCCCAGGGAATGGCATGGAGCTGTGTCACGGGAGGGGCAGCTGGGGGCTAGGGAACGGTTCTGCACCAGAGGGCTGTGGGCATGGAACAGGCTGCACAGGGCAGTGGGCACAGCCCTGAGTGCTGGAGTTTGAGGAGTGTTCGGACACTGCTCTCAGATGTAGAGTTTGGAATTGAAATGGTCCTGTGTGGAGCCAGGGGTTGGACTCTGTGGTCCTTATGGATCCAGACCAACTCAGGATATGTGATTCTGTAAATACATATATCATTAAATATAATATATGAATATATGAATATATATTCATTAAATTCAAAATGGGAGACTCTCTGGGAGGGTGCTGTAAGGAAGGAATCCTAATTTGGATATATGTGGGGAAAAAAGATCCTGCCTTTGTTTCCTAAGCTGCGTACCTAGTTCCAGGTGGCCTGTCATCTCTGTTCTTTACTGAAAGACTGCCTCAGTTTCCTTTGTTCATTGAATTGCCACAAAATCCTTCCCAACACATTTCACACTACTCTTTTCGCTTTGCAAATCAACACATAGTCTTGGGTGATGATAGGCCAGGAGTCACTTAATCATGAGAAAAAGCAATTCCATGGCTTGCAGGCAGTTTCCAGCTTGCTCCTTCTCCCAGATTAGTGAGAATTTATGAGCCACACATATAAGTCTGTTGTGCAGAAACCACTGTGTACTGCTCTTATCTCTGGATCCCATAGACAGGCAGCTTTGGCTGCTCATGCAGACTAGCGGCTCCAGCTTGCTGCAAGGTACTGGAAGCTGGGTAAGTTGGACGTGGCAACGGTACAGCAGCTGTGATATCTCTGTGGCAAAGCCAAAGGCAGTTTCCATAGTGATGGTTAAGCTCCAGGCCATTGGTGATGCAGCTGCTGCATTGGACAAGATCAGCATCTTCTTTATACACAGGCTTCTCTAATGAAACTCTTAGGTGTTTGTATGGCCTCATTTGGTTGTATCCAGCTCTGGGATGTAAAACGAGAGATGAGGGGAAGGTTTAAACTGGCTGAAGTAAGTACTCAGAAAAAAAAAAAAAAAAAAAAAAAGTGTAAGTGTTTTAAATCTTAGAACATCCTCAAATGACTGTTGCAAGAAACAGCTTGAGTGCAGCTAGTATTTTGGTCAGTACTTTCTGTGATATCGCATGCCAATGTTAATAGCTCCCAAGGGTCTTATTTCAAGCTGGAGAATTAGATTTGTGTTCCCAAGTCCTACTTCCTCTTCTAAAACATTGCAGCTGGTTTGGATCCAAAACCAGAATGTGTCTCTTTCTATACCAAGACCATACATTTTCAGGGACTTGAGGAAGCAGATGGTCTTGCAACTTCAGTATCTCAAACATTGAATTGTCCTAGGATTCTCTTGACCTCTCCTTCTGGATATCTCAGCACCTCAGCATAGATATATGAAATTAATTTCGAGCTCCTTCTGGAGGGTCCTACAGCCTATGGTCTCCCTTTGTTTACTGCTGGGGCAGCAGGCACAATATCTCCAAGTTCTTACGCTGGAAATGCACATTTTTTACTTCAGCTTTGAATTCTTATCAACCTGCTTTGTGAGTGCTGCAGCATATGAGTAGGAAATGTGTGTTAAACTGCTCAATTAAAATAATTATTTGATAATTTTGACCCAGAATTTTAGTAGTTTTAAACATTAATTGTTCTCATGTGAGCTAGAAGCTAAAATAAGTTTATGTTTTATCTTTCAGCTGGTGCAGGAGACCGGGAAAAGATGCCTGTCAATCATGAAGCTTTCCTGCTCATGGCTAATTCCCAGAATGAAATGGAAGATTGGGTGAAAGCCATCCGACGGGTTATATGGGCTCCTTTTGGTGGAGGTATTGCAAATAGCTCACATGCACATAAATTAAAACATTTGCCTCAAGGTAAAACATATTCTTGTGATACTAGGATATGTGTAACACTGTAAAATCACTGAGATGCCTAGATAATCTCTTGATTGTCTAAAGTGTTTTACAGCACAGAGATTGGGTTAGGCTTTTTTGCCAGGGGATGGAAGGGAATGGAAGCGAAGGTCACATCCACACTGTATTACTCACAGTCAGAAATGGTGGTAATAACAGAAACATCTCTATTGTCAGTGCCCAGTTTCTTAAAGCTGATAACTACTCTGTGGATCTCTCTTATTCTTGTGGATGTAAAAGAGTATGTCCAGTTATCTCTGGTTTCCACCTCAAGGGCAGATGCCCATCTTTAACCTCCTCGCAGACAGAGGCTGCAAAACTCTTTATTTGGTCTGAGCCTGGTTGACAAGACTGAGCTTCCACTGGCTTGACTATGGGGGAAAAAGAACAGGGTCAAGTTGAGAGAGCACCTGTAAAGTGTACCATAGTTGACAGTCCCTGTATTTAAAATGAACAAAAATATTGATACTGTACTGCAGTCTTCAAATTCTCAAGTTGTAAGATTAGGTGGACGTTTTAACAGTGTGGTACAGAACAAGTGTTCACAGATATTTTCTGCTGGGTTCACTGTTGGTGGTAGCAACACTTTGAAGTGGCTACTGATGGGCATTCATGCAGATAGTGATATCATGTGTAAATAGTGACATCAGCCTCTTTTAAGAAGTTAAAGGATGAAGATATTTAAGATTGTAAAGTGCTAGATAAGAGTTAAGTAATACAATTAGCTTTGCTGAAATTAAATTACTAATTCCTGAATCTAGAGTAAAAAAGTGATCAGTGCAATTGAATTTGGCTGAAGTAAGGCTGCTAAGAAGATCCAGCTGGCCTAAGCTGCCCTGTAGAAGTGAAGCATAGTTGGAAAGAACTGAAATTGTGTATAGAGTTTTTATCTCTGGATAAAAGAAAATGGCTGATCAGACTGGCCTTAGCTCTCTGCTTTGCTACTCAAATTCAGCAGCCTAAATCTAGCTTTGTTATGTCTGTTATACTCTGCAGTCAATGCTACGTGAGCAGATTCTTATTCTGTGGTTTCAGCACTCCTCTGAACTGGCTGTGCACTACCTGCAGTGGGCTTCTCCCACCTTGCAACTATGTTGCCACCACATTTGGTTTTGCTGATACTAGTGGTTATGCTGTGCAGGGGGAAATGACCTGGGAGGAAAAAAAAAAAAAAAAAAAAAAAAAAAAAAAAAAAAAAAAAGAAGAAGAAGTAGGAGTGAATTAGTTTTGAGGTGGATTGGCTTCTTCGCCCAGCTGTGCAGGCAGGAATAGCAGCAGTTCTATCACAGTGAGGGTGGTGGGGTGGAGAAGGGCATGCTTGTTCGTTCTGGCTACAGCCCATGCTTCAATTGGCTTAAACAAACCATGGAACTGCATCCTCAGTCTCTCTTATAAGAATGCCAATAACTGGGAGATAGTTAAAACATCCAAATCATTGTTTCTAAATGATCAAGACTATCCCTCCTTTGTCAGAATCAGAGCAGGTCGACTTCTCTGTGAGTGAAATCCCAGCCTACCTCAATTGTGGGAGAACTGTAAACATAGCTGTCTCTGTTTTAATTGAATAATTTGAAATCTGCTTTGCTACCGCTGCTAATTTGAGAGCCAAGTCTTATCTATCGTCACTTTTTAATCTATGATGCTAAAGGAATGGGAGTTAGGAATTATAATGCAGGCTTCATTATTAGTATGTAAATATCCAGCTCTGGAGAAGGCTGATATGGTGTAGAAATGAATTATGCCAAGATAAAATGAGAGGCTTAGCCCCACTTTAATCTTTGGTGATGTATTGAAGAAACATATAAATCAAAAAGGCTGAAGGTATCTTCTTATGTGTTGAGCTGCACACATGAACTATGTTTAAAGGTGAACAGCAAAGTTTAAAAAAACAAAACAAACAAACAAACAAAAAAAAACAGAAAACACTCCAAAGCTGCTGAGGATCTGAAATCATTAATAGAAGACATGTTCAGGCTTAAAAGCCATATGGAATGCATTTGAAACGTAGTCTTAAAATAAAATCCTAGAGTTCCCAACTCTTTTAAAGAAGAGTTGTCCTGTTTATGGAGAAAATAATTTGGAACCATTTCCCTAAGTTTTAGGCTTCTGAATTCTTGAGTCTAGTCCATCCCATTCAGAGTTGAGATTTGAGAGTAAGCTGTATGTTTTGAGTTTATGTCTTCAGGAATAATGTTTTTACAGAGGCTGGATACAAGTGAATTTTGGAGCATGTTCTGACAGTGTTTAAAATTGTTTCGTCTGATCCTTCTTACCTCCAAGAGGAACAAATTTTGCTCTGTGTTTACACCACTGAAAGTTTATCTAGAAAAGTCCCTCTGAGCCTTACGGTCATGTTGTTCTCTGGATGCTTTTTAATATGGAAGCCTTGTAGTTGTGACATAGTACTAGAAGTATAGCCTGTCCACAGGCTTGGGTGAGAGTGAGCCTTCCAGCATCCTCTGAAATGGGATGTATGGAAAATACTGGGAGTAGCAAGGTGGAGAGGGGATCTTTCCTCACTCTGTAAATCAGCACTGGGATTGTACCTCTGGTCTGAAGAAGAAATATGGCTACTTTAAGGAGGTCCCTTGCCATCTATTCACCTCTTACTTTTCATGTCTTCTTCATTTTTGATTTAAAACATAATGTGTCTCAATCTGCATTTGGGCCTGGTGGTACAAAAGCAGAGTTTTTCAGTGTCCTGAGCTGAAAGCCATGAGGTGTGTGTAGCACTCTTACAGGGGGACAGAATTATGTTGTGTTAATCATGTGCTGTGTTTGTGTGTTTACTTGCTGTTTCTTGCCATGAGCAGTTCCTTGCTCCTCTGCCAGAAATGCATGTCCCAGCCCCTTTCTTTCTCGATTACTTTATCCTAATTCCTCTTCCTTGTTATCCTAAGCTTTCATCAGTTCCTTGTGATGGAAAGGGAGTAAAACAGTTGGAGAGAATATGCTTCCCTTAGGCAAACAAGGAGAGCTTTACCGGTGAAAGCATAATAATTCTGAAGGAACTCCATGACCTTTTTTGCATATGAGAAGAAACATTGCTTTTTAACCGATGGACTGTGCAGAAATGTCCACTGGGAAAGCTGCTCTGCTATCATTAATTCCAATTTCTCTATATGGACAAAGCTTGACATGTGGATTCTTTCTTTTGCCAGCAGAATAGTGCAGAGGAAGATTGTGCTGGCAATCAGGACCTTATGCAAACCATATCTTATGTTTGAGGAGAGCTGAGAACCAGAAGAGGATTTTCCAAGGTTCAATTTAATACCCATCTCAGTGTTATTATTAGTAGAGTAAGGGTAGTCCTACATAGGCCTAATGAGGTATCCTATTTTTACATAAGTAAATGTCTTTGAGATAAAATCTGCATGAAAGAGAAGTCACTGTTTTGAAGGATCTGATGTTGTTATGAGATGCATGTCCACAAGGATGCCAGGTTCGTTAGGAGCTCTGGTATTATGCTAAGTCTTGTGAGTTTGGGGTTTAATTTTTCTACATGTTAGATGGGGATTTTCCAATAACACCATCATGACCACAGAATTGTATTTGTGGATTTAGGATGCTAAGATATCAGAGAAACAAAGAGGTATCTTCTGCTCTTCTGTCTGCCCAGTATGAAGACTGAGAACAAGTTTCTGCTCCATGTCTGTTTAGAGGGCTCCCCTAGAGTGGCAGACTAGAGGATTCCTGCCTGGGCCTCAAAGAGACCCCTCACTGGGTTTCAAGGTAGGCTTCTCTGCTTAGGCTTCCACAGGTGTGTGGGGAGTGGCACTGGGTGTTTGTTGTGCCTATGTGCTGTTATCTCTGCATGGAGACAGCTGGCGCCAGGTTCAGCTTATCAGTGTTTGCTCTTCAGCGTTGTCTCATAGGAGGAGGTGGGCCCAACTGAGGGGAGAGAAAGAGAAAAACGATAGGGGTTATGAGTTCAGTTATCTGCCTAGGACTAGGAGATGCATGAATAATCTGTGAGGAGATGCTGGCTAGCTTTACCCCAGGAAGATTACAGGAAGTTACACTTGTGGATATAGATGCTCAGATGCAGAGCTGAAGTTGGGAGCAGGTCTTGCTGTCTGTCTGAACTGCTCACAACAGAGAAAGTTTTAAGGTTTTAAGGTCTTCCTCTGAGATCTGATCAAGTCACCTTTTTTTTTTTTTTCCTGATCATCAGATGTATTTGGGGCTTTTCTTGCTTCTTTATGCCCAGTGTATTCCATCAGAGGTAGAACAACGCTGCTGTCCTCATTTTTTGTCAAGGAGGAATTTGAAGTACTGAGCAGTCAAATAATTTGCCTGAGGTAACACCAAGTATCTGTAAGAGAGCCACTCTGGAGGCATTGCTCGACAAGGTAGATAGTAGAGTCACAACCCTGGGACTCAGGGGAGTAGTTGCTTTAACTGTTCAGAGATGTACTTGAAAGAGTCCTATGGAATAGAATAGAGTCCTGGAGAGAACAGGGGTCTAGGAGAGCTGTTTGATTTTCAAGGATTTCCTCCTCCAAGCTCAAGAACAGTCCACACTGATGTGCAGGAAATCAAGCAAAGGTGGGAGAAGGCCTATGTGGATTAAAAAGGAGCTCCTGACAATGCTCAAGCTTAAAAAGGAAGTATAGGAGGAGTGGGAAAAGTGACAGGTAAACTAAGGAAAACGTAGAAAAGCTTTCTAAGCATGCAAGAATGGACTTAAGGAAGATAAAGTCTGCACGGATTTGAATCTGATGAGTGATGCGACTGTCAACAAGAAAGGCTTCTTCAGTTATATCAGCAGTAGAGTGAAGACCAGGGAAAATGTAGGCGCGCTACTGAAAGAGATGGGAGACCTGGTGACAAAGGATGAAAAAGGTGCTAAGGTACTCAATGCCTTCTTCACCTCGTGTTTTACTGCTAAGATTTGCCTTCAGCAGTCCCCAGTCCCTGAGACCAGTGGGACAAGGAAGTTCTCTCCTCAGCAGCAAGTG